GTGGGGAGCTGAGCTGCTGCCCAGGAGACGGGATGCACCCACTCCGCTCGGGGGTCTTCTACCAGCCTGTGCCATTTGCTCGGCACGGGTTGCTCTGCCGCAGCACCTTGCCAGCCTGCACATCTTCTCCTGCGGGCCCAGAGCTTCCAGCCCTCGCCCTGCAGACGGGCAGGTGCTGTGCGAAAAGCTGCCACAAGCCAGGCAAAGGATTTGCACAGTGAACTCAAACATGTTGGTACTGACCTCAAACCAGTGCCCGTGCGAGCAAAGCCCCAGCGCCGGGACGGGGAGGGAGAGATCCTGCAGAGCCCTGGCTCCTGGGCACCTCCGCTGCAGATATGAGCATCAGCTGCCCATGGGCAAGGAGGCGTTGGAAGCTGAACTCCCCTGATGTGGCAGACCAGGGATTTTGAGCAAAGGGCAAGAGGATTAAAGCAAGACATGGAGACCCTGTTCCAGCCAGGGCTAGCAAAACACCTGAGGCACAGAGAACAAACACTGGGGTTTTTAAGTGCCAATTATTTCAGAGCAATGGGGTGGGTGCTTAAAAACAACCAGAAAAAGACTAAAGCACACCTTGAAAACACGGAAAAAAATACGAGGAAGATCTGTAGGCTTGATTTGGGCAGCTCGTACAGCTGGCAATGAGTTCAGCACCCAGTGGGGAGACCACCGAGGGTAATCCAGGGTGGCACTGGAGGCGCCTGAACGAAGGTGCTCTGCTCCCGGAGCCAGAACTGAGCTGATGCCGCAGAGCAATGGTAGGAAGTGCCGTTCTGCAGGGGCTGTCAACTTTTGGAGGAAACATAAAACTAAAGATGTGACCACTCTGGGACAGTAAATCTCTTTCATGAAGCCTTTCCCACAATTAAGAGTGTTAGTCCCAGTGCTTTGGCCACAGTCCAGCTCAAGAAATTACAGTCGTCTTCGCTGTGCTCCCTCCTCCCGCACTCGGGCAAGATGCTGGACTCTCTCCATTTCTTGTCTTAAACGGGCACATGACAAGACCATGACCGTTGTGCTGCTGCACCTGAGTCTGGTGAGTCCCCAGGGTGGGTGAAAAGCACTGCCACAGCCCTGCTGTATTTCAGAGATGGACTCCAAGCGCCGGAGCACTGCTTGGTCATGGCCAGGATTGGTACCAGGGCCTCAGAGCCTTCCGTTGCCACCGGCAGCTCTTCTTGCAGGCTACAAGTTCTCCGTAAAACATTAAACACTCGAAAGAGAGTAAAAATGTTTCTTGCACGTGAGCTGTCACAGGTACAGCCATCCGCTCAAGCCAAGCACTGCAGCCACGGCTCCATCGAACACCTCGTATTGCTGCAGACGTGAAACACGTGCCCACCGGCTCACACCCAGTTTACATGAAGCCATGGTGGTTTGATGTACCACAGCAATACTCAGCCCTGGTACAGCCCACAAGGCTGCCCACTGTGCAGGTAAGAGGAACAGGACACTCAAATTCAAGGGTTGTTTCCCCACAGTTCCAGCTCAGCTACTGTGGACGTTGTAATCTCATTGTTAAATTACACAAAACTCCCCCTGGCCAAGCTTGTCAGTCTCGTTTCAAGGAGGCTCCTCCAGCCCAAAATCATTGCAGAGATGGACAAGCACCCAGGTGAGAACATGGTGGGAGCTTATTCAAGCCTCCTGAACGTACACCAGTGCTCCAGCTCCCAGCTTTGACAGCAAAGGCTCTTCAAGAGCTTAATTGTAGGACAAAAGAGGAAAGCACCATAAATCAGAAGGAACTTTCTCTTTGTGCCTTTTCACCACTTTCCTTGGGAGGGAGGGAGCCTCAGCTTTCACTGAGCTGGGAGCTTGAAGCCAGCGCCCACAACTGCGTGACACAGAGGCGGTGGGGTGGCAGACCCCAGGCTACCCCTGGCTGCCCACGCCACAGAAGACAGTCAGGGTGAGGGTACAAGGCCAGGGCTGCGTGCTCATGAAACGGGGGATTTAGACAGAAACTTGTGGAGTGTTTTGAGCGATGGGCATTAAGGAAACCAGCTCTCCACATCCACAGCAAGGTCTCTTGCTCACAGCACCAAGTGTCTGAGCCCACCCTGGCACTAAGAGAAAAATATTTTGTAGAAGATATGCTGAAAAGTGGGGCTGGAGCAACAAATCTGCTCCAGAGCCCACAGGGCGTCGTTACCCTCTGAGCTGCGCAATGGTCTGCGCTGCTGATAACGCACGATGCGTTAAGACACAAACTCCACGGAAAGAGGTGTTTTTGGAGGCTGGAGTGACACTTAGGGAATTCCTGTCCCTGCAGGTGAACAGCACTAGTATAACCTGGGACACCAGCTGCCACAGACCAAGAAGGGCAGGCAGAGAGATCCTGACTGCCCAGGTCAGGGCAAACCCTGTAATTCCCAGCTCTGTCTCCCCAAATACACAGCGGGTGCAGAAGAAGCAGAACCACAGTATCAGGTCCACAGGCAATCCTGAATCCTGTCCCTGCAGGCAGTCACCAAAAGCCTGGCACAGAGACGTTTTCAGGTGGCATTGATGGCATCTCATCAGCTAAGGCTACCACAAACCCATGCTCCACTTCCTCCCCTGAATCCCCAATTAGGCTTTAATCAGAACACCCTCCTGCATTCACACCCAGCCACGTCACGCTGCCGGGGCACGGTGCAGATGTGGTCAGGCAGACTACGGACAGAAATCACACGAAAAAGAAGTTGCCACAAGGTCACGGGCCCCGAGGTGGTCAGAGATGTGGCTTCTCTGTGCCACTAGCGGCCGCAGCAGCGACGCTCTGCAGGATATCAGCACAACACCAAGCACGACGCGTTCCCACTCCGCCTTCTCCCCTTGCCAGCAGGCAAACGTCGGTGTTAATGCCGGCATCGGTTAAACAGCTCCTGTCACCACGTCACCTCTCGGCTCTCGCCTGTGCAGCCACCCTGTGAACCAGATCCCACAGCAAACAGGGGTTTGAAATGTCACCTTTCAGCTGTGCCACTGCCATCAAAGCTGGTGTGTGGGGGGAGAGGAGGGTGGGTGAAGCTGGCACCGCTACCTAAGTAACTGCTCGTTAAACCACAGCTGAAGGTCAGGGCTTCGGGACTTGCAGTGCTTGTAGCCAGGACCAAGTTGGGGTAACACCGTACCCTCGCCGCACGCTGCACTACCACCCGCTGTACCGACTCACGGCCCGCTGAGCCGTGCTGCAGGCATGGCAGGGAGCTGAGCCGGCCTAAAAACCCCCCTTCTGGGAGCTTTCTCAAGCTGGATCTGTTTCTCGGACACTTGTAGCCCCACGTCAGCTACGACAGCACAACTCTGAGGTACGTGCAACACTGGCACAGGGCTAGAAAGGAGCAGGCAGAGTATTTTAAAG